ATACATGTATATGTAGATATATATATATGTATTATTTGTGTGTGTGTATGTATTATATACATACATGTATATATATATATTTGTGTGTGTGTGTATGTATTATATACATACATGTATATGTATATATATATATGTGTGTGTATGTATATATGTGTGAGTGTATGTATATATGTACGTATGCGCGTAAGTTATACATACATGTATATGTATATGGATGTATGTATATATCTATTATACCTATATATCTATATATATATATATATGTGTGTGTGTGTATTGATATATATATATATATATGTATTTACCCATGCGGATACTTATATGTTGATGTATATTTGGATATGTGTGTTTGCCTATGGATAAATGTATATTTTCACATTTACATTTATATATATGTGTGTGTGCATGTGTGTGTGTGTGTTTGTATTTATGTTTTTACTTTTATATATATTTATGTTTTTCATCTGTTTATTTGTATAGATGTATATACATGTATTTACATATATATATGTGTATGTGTGTGTGTGTGCGTATATATATATATATACATGTATATGTGTATATTTTCATATATATATATATATTTGTGTGTTACTTTTGTTTATTTTTTTTTGTATACATATATTATGCGTATGTGCGTTCGCATGGGGGTGGGCTCTTTCAAAATCATACACAAGTGTTTATATAAATATATGCTTGTACATGCGTATTTACGTGTATGTGTTTTTTTTCTTGTTTTCTTATTTATCTGTATGTATATGGGTACGTATGGAATTATTTATGCGTATATATATATATATTTGTATGTGAGCTAATTAAATCGTATTTGTCGTTGACCCAATAGATCTGCCAGAAGGATGACTGGCCCACGCACAAATACCCATGCAAGGCAGAAATGGAAAGCTCTGTCTCTGTCGGGGATTTACTGGGATCGGACACGTTCGACCGTGACATCAAGAGGTGGACCTCGCAATGCGAGCGAGTACTTCTTAGACTCGGAGGCAGAGTTCTTGGAGATCATAAACAAGCCGAGACACATGTTATACAGATCGCGGGATCATATATGCCCGATTCGCCAGTTAAGTTCCGTATCGACTACGAACCCAGAATCGTGGCTTTGCCGCAATTGCCCAATGAATTGCGGGAAGCCGTGGAGGAAGAGATGCGTGCTTGCAACGATGATGCAACCGTTTCGGTTACGGTTGTGTACACATTCGCCTTGGGAGAGGGCGATAAAGCAAAGGGTACACTAGATTATGTAAATGGAGAGGTACAAAGGAACGCGTTCAAAGACCTTCTAACATACTCAGCAGAGGATCTTATTAGTGTACTAAATAATACAGAGTTTTGGAACTGAACCCACATAAAATTGTGTTGTTGAGATTCTCAAATTTTCCTGCACTTGCCATTGTGCAACAATGTACAATTTGTCGCATCCAAATCGACTATCTCACCGTTCGAAAGCTTCTGAATCTGGGAAGCTACTGTAATACCATGTGAATCATCATCACATCTGGGGTGCCATTTAGCTTGTCGCTGTGGATAGCTCTTAGTTGTACAACGAGTCCAGATGCAGCTGTGATATTATATATGAAACCTAAACCCTGGCTAAGTTCGTATTGGAGAAGTGGAGAGTTTTTTCCAATTGCCTGCCTCCTTTCTATTCTTTACTATATTTAATTTTATTGTAGTGTTGTTGTCGCCAGCCTAAAATTTCTGTTTTTTGTGCTCTGATATATTGTACGAATCATTCAGTTGTCGGAAAAGTTTGTGAGGTATTCATGTGACTCCATTTATATTAATGCCCACAACGGAAATCCATGATTTACGCTCTTCGTACTCCATTTATCAAATCAGCCTCGCTATGGTGTTTTCACGTCTATGTAAACATACTAACAGTGAATTGTTGCCTCGTGCAATCGTTTAGCTTGTATGTCAGAAAGAGCTTGCAAATTTGAGGTATATTTGCGTCTTTATTGATCGATCCTTATTGTAATTTGCCTTATGCTTAATTTATCAAACGGCACACGTAGCTTAACACAATCTTAAATTGGATTTTGCAGTGGTCAAGAAGATCTGATATCATGACAGATCGATTGACGTACCCTGGTTTTTTACTGTTGTTAGCAGTCGAGAAAAATAGAATTTGTACAATATTTCATTGTCGCTATTTCGCACTATTACACTCTTAAAATTCGAGAACCTCTATGATATTATGTCAATGCGAGTCTTGGTCATGCCCAACTTCTCAGCTATATTTCGCTGTTTCAATATCCTAAGTCTCCAAGTAATCGCCTTATGTAAGCACGAGCTTCCAAGATGATATTGTGTGGCGAAATCCACTCGGCGCTGCTTGAATCGGCATTAATATCAATTTTTGGGATGCTTTTGATCAATTCACCCGGCAGATTCACAGGCGTCGATACTCCTTTGTAGATGTATTTATGAAGGAGTGCGTGCTCGGTTTGTAACTTCAATACACCATCGCCTTTATCACTGATATCGCCCAGGAGGTCAACATCTCGAAGGAAGTTACAGTTTTCGGAGCAGAACCTTTGTTTAGATATTCCCAACAAAAATGCTTTCAATTCATTGTCCGCCAGTATAAAGTCGAGCTCACCTCGCGGATCTAATAAATTATATGCCGGACTGACTACGACAACCTTGTCCATCAAATGCCAATCCAAATATTTACACGCATCTTTGGCCATGACAAAACCGAAATCTCGATCATCATTACTATCGTACCCCAGTACGTGCTTGCCACTTCAAACCACATCTCACCTACGGCATCGAAAACACCCACCCGGGGCAACACTAACTTGCAGGTCGACAAGACCACAGCAGCCGCAAAAATACGGACAATGGGCTGGAAGTGGACAAATTGTTGCGCGGCGTAGCCCAATTTCCACACGTAGAACCCGATCTCGATAAGAAAGAGAACGCGGAGAGTTTGGACGCCCTTGTAGGCAAGATCATTCTTGAAACACCAGGGAACAGTCTGCTCCAGTATAATTGGTATCACAGCAACAACTATAATCATAAAAGCCATTCGAAACAACATATATGTATACCTGGGATCATATATTCCTTTGCTATACACAAGATACATTACCCTTAGCCGTAATATAAGAGATGTGTATAGCACATTCATGCCAACTATTTTGAAAGCGAATATCAAAGCATGCAACGTGGTTTGTGGCTGCTGAGTTGAGGCGAAGTACCGTGTCGTAAATAGGTAGTTAGAAAGTGGGAAAAGTAGCAACCCCGTAGAGAAGTGTACGAGAAACCATGGAAGCCTACAGCGGTACTCGGGGCGCCTCCAATTGTACCCTAGTATAGCCACATAGCAGCATACCATCGTCTGACTAACGGCAAATAAAACCGTATTGGTTTTACTATACTTAATGAGATCGTAAGTGTCGAAGACTAGATAAGCGCAGTCATACCAGGTATATATAGCAGTAACACCCATGCGAGATTGTTCAATATGAGCCGCCGGCGCTGTAATGCCTCGTTATTTGCGTCATGTATACCATTTTTTTTGGGCAAGTTGGGTATTGAAAGCCTCAGCGTTCAACTCCAAGGTGGATAGTTTCCCAATATTTACTTTTCTATTCTGTGGCACGTTCAGTGCGTGGTCTTGATCAGCGAGTCCCGAAACATCTGTTGCCACATCTGCAGTACAGACTCGCACATCACCATCAAACCTGTTTTCGACTGTCGTCATTGCCAATTCACGAAAAAATGGAGAATTTTATGATACTGATCAAAGAGTATGTAGAACAACAAGTATTTATATGATAATATTCATATCACACATCGTCTGTTATTTTTACTGTACGACTATACTATTTTTTTAAACAAATATATATAAAAAGTAAATTCAATATTTATTTATTTTAATTGTATATTTTTATTTTAACAAAACGTAAAATATTTTTCTCTTTTTGTTTTGAAAATATTTCTAGCCAGGCCCAGCCGCCCAGGCGGTGGACATAGAAATTATAATTCAGACGCAATTATTTTATAATAAGCCGTGCTAATTATAAATACTATTATATATATAAAATAGCGGGTATTTATTGTCATCAAAGACTCGAAATAAATACCTGGAAAGTACAAAAAATAGTTGAATAAATAGATAAATACCCGCACCCGCTCACCGGGTCCGGTGTCGCCGGACCAGGGTTGTTTTAAACGGACAAATGGACTAAACTGTCTGGGGGGGGAAAGGCTGTCCCTGGTATTATGACCTGTTTTTGAGACTGTTCATATGTCCCATTCGAAAAGGACCTGTTGTCAACTGGTAAATTGAAAATCGCCTGGTGCAAATTAACCCAACCCATTTGTCCATTTCAAGATTGATGCCTGTCCGTTTGTTTGGTCCATATAATGCCCTTTGTCCGGCTGTCCGTAAATGCAAATGGTTGTCCGGACAGGACTTTTCATATCCGTTCAACAACCTTGTTCCGGACGTCACGAATTCCATGACAACCGTTTTCAACAAAAAAAACAAATATGAGGTAGAACGTAAGAGTAACGAGTCCGTACTCCGTAGGACCGAATTCTTCACTGATTCAGGAATATTTGATCCAATGATGTGTATTTTTGCTTGAAAATGGATTTTACTTTAAAAAGATCCCAAAAGATCCCATTTAATTGAGCGGGCTCTAAAACGAAATTTGTGAGCTTATAAAAATAGGTTTCTAAAAGTTCACCAGTCAAATACGTTCTATTTCAGATTTCGAAATTCCTTTTTGAAATTGCAAAATTGGTGAAGGATGGGTAAAGCCTATTTTTTAGTATTTTCTAAACGAGTTTTGGCCAAAATTATTTAATTTTCCAAGGTTATGTTGACAAAATCGGTAAAAATTTCTACCCCGAATTTGCTCCACGAGTTATTCACCGATTTTACGCGAACAAAAACTCGTGAAAATTTTCTGGAAAATATATTTTGTTTCCGTTTTTTAACAAACAAAAATAGTGCAGTGCGGCCGCCTTCTTGTTTCATTTATTAGAAGGCTATGGGCACTGGGCAGTGAGACCCCGGTCACTCGGTGCGGGTCGCCGACGCCGGCACCGATCCTTCACATCATGAAGAAAGAAGAAATTGGCAGTTTGGCACGGCTGTATGTATAAAGAACGATTTTACTATTCTTTAGGGGTGATAGGAGAAAACTGTAGGAGTGTAGGACTGCAGGTCTGTAGGATATATTATTCACAGCCATAGTGTAGTAGAGGGGAATCTCTACATAAAAAACACCATATGAAGTATTCTGTAAATACGGCGCAAATAAGTGATTCAGTGATTGTGACAGGGTATCCATATTTATGAGTTCCCACTTCCGGCTTCCCAGGGGCCTGCACTGAGTCTGAGTGTCTACGTCTGGCCCACGCACAGACTCACCCCCAGACCCCAGACGACCCCGACTCCCAATTGCGGGCCCACTGACTTCAGTCGCTTGATTTTACCATTCATGCCTTGGTATGTAGTTTAAAAATATATAAATAGTTTGATATGTAGACACAGAATTTGATAAAACATATTATATACATAGGGTCATAGACCAAGTCACCAAGATATGAATATATATATAGCGAATGAAATAACTATATTTTGTTCTATAGTTTTTTTAGTCATGACTCATACCCCAGCTCCCAGAGGTTTAAAAAATGCTATGTATTTGCTCTCTCTACTCTAGACTACAAAATAAAATATAACTAGTCTATGCTGATATACTCTCTATATGACTCTATATTCTATGTTCTAACTTCTACCCTTCTTGTTGGGGACAAGAATTTTCATTCTCGGCGAATTGTCCCTGGACGTCCTCAAAAGGTTGTGGATTGATTTGACAAAAATATGATTTTTAGGATTTTTGTCGCTGACAGCCACCGGTAGTGAATTCGGCCTTTTTATTTGCAATCGGATCGCTATTTTGGCTATCGATGCCAATCACCAAATGACAAAAAAATCAACGCATAAATAATGAAATGCGTACAAAACTTGACCTCACAGGCTCGCTGCCTATTGTTCCTCGCTAACTGTGCGCTGTTTGTTATAATAGTGCACAACTCCAAGTTTTAAAAGGAAACCCCCCGTACCTGGTGGAAAGACCTTCATTATTGCACAGTCTAATATATAAGTTGTTAACTAGAACTAAAATAGAGAACTACTTGTATAAGACTATTTATACTCATTCTTGCACCCTAACTGCAACCACCTAGCAATCACTAAATGACTAACTTTGCTCAGTTCATCAACCTTTCTCCTGCCAGCAGTGTCAGTGCACAAGACCTACATAGCTTCAAGCTTGACACCAAGTATGGTAAGTGTCTCTTTACTATGTCTACTTTTAGACATTGTATCAACCAACATCAGATACCGTGAATTAATGCACTCACATAAACCCTTATTAGTTATATGCCTTATTGCATACATTGCATAAACTAACTGCAATTACTTTACATTCTTGTTCCTTTCTGTCGCCTAACATACATACTTTACACACAGTTAATCCTTCAATACTATAAGATTATACATTCACCTTATTTTATGTGTTTTACACTTTTAAACTGAACTATTTTATACAAAGTAAACCTTATGTCATCATTAGCCCGAAACCCTTATATCTCACTAGGTTTCCAGAAACTAAACCCTACAATAGTTGTCTTACTCTCAGAGCGTATTACACGCCCCTCGGCAGAGGCCCTAGCTCATACATTGTAGATTACATACATTGTAACATCTTTTTTGAAATAATTATTATTATCCCTATAACTAAGCTTCTACCGAAAAACGCTGCGAACAAGCCCATAGTGTAATAAGCCGGGCCTCCACATTGGACTATGTTATAAACGTACTCTTAAGCAGTACGTAAATTATAAACGTACTCTTAATAGTACGAAGAACTTAAGTGTCCTAAATGTACTCTTGATGGTACGAGGAACTTAAATTTCCTAAAATGGGTTTTAACGGTTTTATTAATTAATACCTTTTCCATTTTACATATTAGATATTTGGATGAGGCCATTAAAAGGCCTCAGTAAACTACCAAACATAAAGAGTTGTTCTAGTTCTATTAATAGAACTTTATTTACTTTCCAACTTTATTTATAACTGAATACTTCGGTAGCGAGATGGCTCAACCGAATATAGGTTTCTAGGGACTATTAACGTTACCTAGTTGATCCTCCGATCAGCCAACCAGATGTGCCAGTCTGATGAAGGCTAAGTCGGTAATTCTTGATAGTGGTAAGTTATTGGTTAAGACAATAACTAAGGAGGTCAAGAGTATTTTTATTTTTTTTCCTTCTTTTCTAAAGATAGGATTTTATGAGTCTCTCGGATTCGCCCCGATGAAACGTACCATAATTTCTAATAGAGCGACAACGAAACACTAAATAAAATCCCTTCGGCGGAAACAGTACTGAGAGGATTATATAAAGGCAATGTCTCAGCCTCACAATCCCTCAGAGTATTGCTGTTTTCACGAGGCAAATCTAACTTTATTAAACGTCTCATTTCGTTTATTTACTTCGATATTTACACGATATTTAGAATTTACCTACGCGTTTATTTATTCTAAGGCATTAGTATCGCCTTTATTAGACCGAATCTTACATT